ATTGATCTGAAATTTTGCAAAAGTCCTCCCAAAAAAGCTGCTAATTTGTCGGAACTGCCGATATCGGATCGCTATGTGACTTAGCTGGCATAATAACTGACCGATCAAAATCAAGATCAAGATCCACAGAATAGATCTTTTTACCTTATTAAGCAACCAGGTATCCGTAAAAACCTTTAAAAATAAACATGGACAAAACGAAGTCAATTTAAATGAACACAAAAAGCAACGATCATTTTATACTGCAAGACAAAGCAATTGATCATGTTGAAGACTTTACCCGGAAAACAGTAGAGGAAAGAATAATTTGGTCAAAATATATTTAGCAATAGGAACACATGCATAGTTACGGAAAATCCGAAATTAGACGCAATAAATCTCCAAAACATAAATCAGAATCGTTCAATGATGTCTCTGTGCTGCTTTACGAAGGTGAAACCTGGCTTGTAACCGATCACGGTACGGGAAAGATTCAGAACTTTGTTAACAGATGCCTTCTCAAGGTGTGGTGGCCAACGTCATCAGCAACGACGATCTATATAAAAAATACAATTTGGAACCCATGGACAACTACAATATATAAAATTGTGAAAATCTATAACTTCTATGAAACATTACCATATGTTTGATGAAATGCTAAAGTTAAAACTATCTAACAGATTGTGGGAGAAACTAAAGCAGAAATCGAAGATATAGCGAATTAATCTGCAAAAATTATTGTGCTTCAATTGTTATACTATAAAACAGAAGCTTAATACAGATGATAAGGAATTTTTATAGTTCATATGATAATAGACTAGGTCTGAGGCTATTGTATCTAAGCCTGCATGAAGGCCTTGGATTAATTGTACGTAATCGATTACACCTAATTACCGTTATTAATCGAATAAAATATTATGGGAGATTGACGTAAAGTAATAGAAACCTTATGGTTGAATCAATAGATTCTCTTTTTATATATGTCGCACGCATTTGAGTTCATGCACTACAAAACTAGACCTATAAGGTAGCTAACCATGTAATAGCTGCGCGAGAGCAGAGTTATTAGCGGCTTTCGTATGATATCTGCTGAAGCATCTTTTATTCTAGCTGTAAAGAGTCGATTATTTACTGACTTTATTTTTGCACCAGGCGTATTTTCCGAAATATCTAAATAGATTCGATGGAGACTGTATGAAATTTTGTCCAATCTGGTCAAACTTCAAATCCTTTGTGAAACCAGACGAAAAACTATTGTTGTTAGATATCAGCTATCAGCAAAACGCCCTGAAGCTATCATAAATCTGCTTAGGTTTGTTATTTTTATTTCGGCTATTTCGCCTGAATATCTATAAGCATGAAATCCGAGTTGTTTTTGCCTTGATCTGGTAAAAGCGGGCCATACGAGGAAGAAGTGTTGAGATTATTCTAACTCACTTTTCTCCAAATAGGTGATGTAGCTAGCATCCAGTAAGATGTTTGATCTATGATGATCCCGTACCCATTCCGCAGTTATTCACACTGAAGTACCTTTCCTAGCAAGCTCATCAGCCTACTCAAGTGACTTCTTCCCTCACATGCCTGCCTACCTCGAGAGTAGGTGAGCAGAGCAACGACAGCCAATACATTTTTTCGATGAGGTAGGTATATCCGTGGATCATTTCATTTAATTGGTTAGATGAAATTACCTACTCCGATTTCCTACCGGCTACTTTCCCAGCCACTACTGATACATATGTATATGTTAATACTACAATAATATGCATTGACTTCGATGCGTCGCGTTTGTTTGGGAGTAGACTTTGTTGCGTGCAATCGCTATGCGGGAGGTCATCACGACGACAGTGTCATTTCATTTGCAAACCAATAACGCGGGCACATTTCTCTAGACCACGCTAAACGTGGGGACGTCCGACTATGCGCTGATTGTTTTTTCGCCTTCGTTGCGTATGCATTTGTAGCATGAAATTAGCATAGAAATGGCTGTCAGTTAAATTTGCATTTTGCAAAACAAACTTCCGGCAAACGGCAACTTTGTTAAACGGCATTAAGTAGCCGTAAGAATTGCAGATGGAGGAGCGCACAAGCAAGTAGGCACACGCGCGCATACATGAATATGCATGCGTTGGTTTTCAGTTGCTATTTCTGTAGTTGTAATGCGTATTGCTGCGTTCGCAAATGCCAATTGGGTCACAAACTTCGCATTCAAGTGTCGAGCGCGAGCGAATTCCAACAAGTAAACGCAAAGATATGAGCGCGCGCGAGCGCACCGACTTTAATTGCTAGGCGAGATGTTTGTATACTAATGTAAGCATAGTAGTTGCTGCGTTCGCATGCAACATGCAACATATGCGCTACGTGTACAACATTTCGGTATTCGCGGCACTTGTCAATGCGTTGCGGCAGCAATCATCATCAATAGCTAACAACTAGCGGTTGATCAACGCCATCACTTTGGCAGATCGCCCCAGCGCGCGACGAGGGTGCAAAGCGCACGCCGCCATCCGTGTCACAACACTGCCAGCGCGCTTGTATTCGCCGATGGTGGTTGAGTCTATTTGAGCGCGCGCGCGCGTCTTTGCATGCAACTTGGGTAGGCATTAGCGAAAATATCGTTATGCTGAGCATGTCACATGCTGCATGTTGCACCATGTTGCAAGTTTGCTGCATTAAAAAACGGCGCTGCACATTGCTTGCTGTCGGTAATTTACGTAGCGATTGAGCGAATGTCTGGCAAATAGTCGCGTTTACTTAATTATGCGACATGTTGCTCCATTGCTGCAACACACTTACATATAAAAATCAGCAGCAAAACAAAAAAAACAACTCCAATAGCTGCATTGTGGTTGCAAAAATAAAGCAGCGCTGTTTACATTCGCATAATCGTTGTTGTGCGATTGGTTACTACTCCTATTGTAGTTGTTGTTGCCTACCTAAACATACATATATTGTAAACAATTGTCGGCCACAAATGGCAATCATCGAAATCGATTTTCGGTTTGACACGACAATTGACATATGATTTCGATTTGTAGACATTCACCGAGCTCAGCGGCAAACACATACACTGTCTAACACACATACACATCTTGTATTTATAGACAAACTGCAACGGTGTAACACATATGCATGCTGGCAATAATGTCACAGGCTTGTGGTAGTCAATACACATGCATGTTTTGTACAACATCAGATAGCAATAATGACAGCGCAAGCATGTTGACGACAACAATAACAACAATAACAATCATTGTGAGTAGTTAGTGCCAACAATTGCAATTGGTTAGTTGTTGGTATTGTTGTTGCTGGTAATACGAGTGCGGTTTGAAGTTAAATAAATGTTTATAGATGACTGATTAAGCGCCGCCACAGACATAAGTACACAGTTACAGAGGTTGGTGGCAGCATTTTGTGGCACCAGCAGTACCAGGAGAGCACTAGAAATTGGGTCAATCAGTCAGTTAGGGTTCTTCGTTTACAACAACAGGTTGAAGTTTTGATTTGCATATATATTTCCAGCGAATTATAACTTTATTATACCAATCGTCATGTGTATAAACAAAAAGAGATCGAAGTTTAATATTTATCAAAATTTATAATAATAAGTGGTAAATTTTTTTTCGTCATATATATCACTGTGATTTTCGACTAAACAAATTTCAAGAATTTTCAAAAAATGCATATTTTGTTTTGCAATATTTCTCAAACATGAAACTTAATGAAGTCGCTGAAATCGGCTTCCAAATTTTTAAACGCATTTTTCTCAAAACACTGTCTTCAGAGTTGTTGAGGAAAATTTCTCCAAAACAGCTGAATTGATCGACTTAAAATTTTCACATGACCTTCTAAGATATATTTGCCGGTAAAGATAGTAGGAATAAGGAATAACTAATTTAATTTTAAGCCACTCTGGAGTGCAAATTTTTCCAAAAAAAATTTTTGCCAAGCCGCCATTTTGTCAAAAATCCAAATTTCGACTAGTCCTTCGATCATTTCCTGTATTAAACTATTGTAAAAATAATTTTTTTGGTTTTTGGATTTGAGATAATTTGAAGCAGCCCAATCTTTCTCACCGCCAGACAGCTTTTTTCACAGGTCCTGCTATCTGTTTAAAGAAATCCAAATTTTTCTTAATAAATTGCTGATTATTAAAGTACAGTAAGTTTTGTAAATGCATATTTTTTTATTTAACTATTGAACAAAATGTCTCTTCAGAAAAGTTAACAAAACAACGGTTTTTTCAACTTGCAAGTAAAGTTATTTAAAATCTATGTAAGAGATTAAAATCCCACAATTATGTTACCACAATAGTCAAGTCTACGTAACCGCAAGGGACCCACATTTACAATGGCTAAGGGCAGCCAATTCAATAACATTATTCGGCATTATTTCGGGAATACTTATTTCCGCTAAAACAACAACCACAATATTATATTATCATCCTTTAAGGGTTACGCCATTACCAATTTGTTCTTTGAGTAAGTAAAACGAAATCGCTTTCTCTTTCAGGCATTACTTAACATGTATTTGGGTATCTGAAAAAATTCTTATTGACATTTGGATACGACTACTGTGTCAATCTTCGAAATCACCTTTCTCAAGAGGGTCGCTGAGCAGTAAATTTTCTATAAAAACAAAAACAAATCTTACATATGATAATGTTTATGATAATGTATGATCCTACAATTAAAATTTGAAGTCAGTACGTGCGATAGTCTTCGAGTATCATCGTCAACCTATTAGAAAATGGCAGTTTCGAAAAAAGAAGTTTAAACTTTTAAGTGCCGAAGCTGACTAACTCAAACCCATCGGCCCTACAAAGAGTGGCCCTTTAGAAGACATATGCTTGAATGAACTGTAAATTAAAGAGTGCACTTTAAGGCATATTTCGAGTAACTTACTGTACCACTGATGTTCGACTCTACCTTTTAAACCAAATACAAAACACAATAAATTTGTTGATTTTTTTATATGTTAGTATTTTTTATTTTGAATTTCGCGATTTTTCTTTGATAGTTCGGAAATTATCTGCAGAATGCTGTTAAGGATCTAGATGAAAGCCTTAACGTCATAATGTATCAAGATCCTTATAATTTATGATTTAAGTAATACTCGTATCGAAGATAAAAACTGTCAAAAAAGCTTAAGAAGAAGCATTACGTGTTTTAGGAAGAGGTAAGGTATTTAATCTGGTATTTGCAAAAGTAAAGGCACCATGAGTTTGAGATTAATTTTCTTAAACATTAATTTATTTAATAACTTAAAAAATCAAAACTTAACTAAATTCGATAATTATGTTAGCAAACCGATCAAAACTACAAATTCGCCTCAAAACTAAAACTGACAACTGAAATTCTAGAAATTATTTATTATAAATTCTACAAAGCATTTGCTACGCCAAGCATGAAAGAACCGCAGTAAGTTTAAACATTTACTGCAACAATTTAATGAAATATCTCCTCAAAACAGCGTAAATGATGATTATGATCCTTATCAGCATCGTAAGGTCGAGAATCCCATGAGGTACGCTGTGAGTATACCAAAAACAAGAGCAACTAATTTCGAAAATTCAAACAAATTTCAGTAATTTCGAGGTTTACATCAGTCTGCTGAAGGCCTCTATCGGCATTGGTTGCTTAGCCATGCCCAAAGCCTTTCAAGCAGCTGGTTGGCTGAACGGCCTGATCAGCACCGTTGTGATCGGCTCGATCGTTATATTCGCGCTGCATGTGTTGGTAAATGAGAGCAAGCTGTGTTTGTGATAAATTTGAAATCCTGCTATTTCGCAGTTATGTGGCATGTACGAGCTGAGCAAGCGGAAGCGTGTGCCGCAATTGAACTATCCAGACTCGATGGCGTTTGCGCTGGAGTCGGGACCGAAATGCTTGCGCTTCTTAAGCGAAACTGCGCGGTTTGTATGAAGTTTTAAAACTCAAAAATTAATATTTTTCTTGTATGTGTATGTGTTTAATATTTTGTTGTTTTAAGCTCCACAATCGACTTTGTATTGGGCTTCTATCATTTTGGTGTTTGCTGCGCTTATGTCGTCTTCATTGCCGACAATCTGAAAGAGTTGCTCGACTTTTATGGCTACGATATCGACACACGCTTTTATATCTTTGCACTTTCTATACCATTGTCGGCGATTTATTTTGTGCGCGATCTGCGTAATCTGGTGCCGTTCAATGCGGTTGCGGACGCCATGATTTGCTTTAGTATTGAGTAGAATTTTGATTGTGATTTTGATGCAGAAGTAATGCTTTGCAGGTTTCATCATTGTATTCTCTTACATATTCACGGAATTACCTTCGTTGGCTGAGCGAAGTGCTTTCGGCAATTTGAAGTCGTATCCTCTATTCTTCGGCACGGTACTCTTTGCCATCGAATCTGTTGGTGTGGTGAGTTAAAAATTGTTTGTAACTTACAGATATACTTCTAATTAAGTGATCAACTTATGCAGATCATATCCGTTGAAGCTAAAATGAAATTCCCGAAGGACTATTTAGGCTTATATGGCATTCTAAATATGGGCTTGATCACCTCGCTCATATTATATGTATTGATTGCGTTTTTTGGCTACTGGCGTTATGGTGAGAAAGTCAAGGACAGCATCACCTCAAATCTACCGATGGAAGATTAGTAAGTGTGTTGACTCAGCTAAAAGCCTTTGTAATCTTTTTTTATGGTACCGAAATAAGCATGAGTTTCTTTGACAAGTTCAACCTTCCTAATTAGGACCCAATGTTCCTTGTTAAAAAATTCTCAAAAGATATAGGGACCAAAAGGAAATCCACTAAAGTGAAATACTTATTGCTATATATATATATATATATATACTATATTGTATAGTTTAACTAAAGTTTAGTGGTCACTTGTTGCCAAGTCCGGATAATAAGATGAATGCTTAGGAACATCTCAACCAATCTACCGATGATCTTTTTTTTTTTTTGTGGGGAACGTTACCGACCTATTCTGGTTAGAAAGTTCTGTCGTGAGAACTGGTATTATGTGTTGATTAAAATCTGTCAAAATCATTAATGAGTAGTTACAAAATTATCGAGCTAGCTTTTTCAGACTATCTGAAGCTTCTAAAACTGGCATCCATTATTGTTTACGGCTTCATATTTTTACTCAATGTTTTCAAAGAGCCCATATTTTACCCAGATTTTTCCAAATGAGAGTTCAAAGGAGAAAGAAAAGGACTTTTCAAGTATGTTCTTAGATTAAAGATTCATTGTGTGCAGAGATATACCTATATATCTGTTAATGACGAACCCCTACGTTTTAGAGTAATGCGTTTAGCGGGTCGAAGTTATCTGCGATGTGTAGATTTTATCTCGGCTGCGGACCAATCTCTTACAACCTCCGTAATCAGCTCTTGCAGTAACATCCTCCATTTGATTTACATTTCTTACAGCATTTTATTAATCCGATATTCGCCGACGTAAATTCCCTGCTACTGTGTATTCAATTCTGACCTAAACCAAGGGCTAGGCAGAGGGCTACAAATTTTGAAAATTTTAAAAAGAAAATCGGTTAGATATGTTTCGGCACTTCTCTCTCTTTTACCAAAATAATTTCTGCGAGCAAACTTACCGACAGGAGTTCAATGCAAGAGAATATGTGGCTACAACACTGTAGTGTACAATTTCCGAACAATTTTGTTATACCAGTTTAAGTAACTTATACCAGTCGTTCGTTCGATTCGCTCATCTAGAAGGCTTATTGAAACAAAGAGTGCCTTGTATGCTATATAGATAACAAATAATTTAACAATACAATCTCAATATCTCTGCTGTATTTTTGCAGCTTTCCCCGCTTGGCCAGGTTAATGTTTGCAGTGGCTATATTCTTATCGTTTGCCCTACAAGGTTATATAACCATCGAGGTGTGTTGGCGACGCTACTCGGAATATATGAATTTAAAGCAATCGCATCCCTTGGAATATGTGCTACGCATCGCTATTGTGCTAGGCGCAGGTGAATTTCACTTTCTATAACTCTTTCAGTGAAAAGGAAATTAAATTTACATTTTTTTATAATTTACTTAATAACATTTAAGTGCTCACCGCCGTAATGACTTCGCACTTGGCTTTGATACTCTCGCTCGTCGGCTCTTTCTCACTCTCTTATCTCGGCTTGATATTCCCCGGTTTGATGGACTTTTGCTTGCGCTACGGCCAGGGATTTGGCCCTTATAAGATCTATTTGTGGCAAGATATTGCTTTGATGATATTTGGCTTTATTGGCGGCGCTATAGGCACTTGGTTCTCGCTGAGCGATCTCTATGCAAATTACCAATTACAACAATAAGGCTGGATTGCACTGACCACTAAGTGAAAAATAATGGCAATCGATAATAATAAATGTTGCAAGTAATGCAAAGTCATTTGTGTTTATTTATTTTTTTATTAGGAAAATCAACAAAATTGTGCGCTTGTGTGTGGTTCTCCAGCACAGCCAGCGGCGGTGTGAGTGCGCGAGATATTTATTAGCTACATTTTGTACCTACCTGTGTCTTCGCACCAAGCGCTCGTTGTCGGAGTGCGCACCTTGCGACATGCAACCAACCGCCCCGCGATGTGGACGATTGCCCCTTACGGTATGTGTTCGAGACAACAACAATCACTGCCGCGTTGCGGCACGAATGTGAGAGAGTAGCGCGCGCTGTATCGCGTAGATACTCGTGCAACATGCACGCACTTGTTGACTTGTTGGTCGTTTAGATTAAAATGTTTTGCTAACGGATAAGGCGAGATTCTGCGACTAATTAGGCGATAGCTCAATTAAGCTAACAAGGCATTAAATGAACTGAATTTACGTGCGCGCGCATTGCTCCAGAATCGACGGAGATAACAACGCTGTTGCTGGTGCGCCCGTTGCCAAGCGCTTTGTGGCACACATTCTTACTCAAACATATATGAGGATATTACATGCTGGTGTTCGTTTTCATTGCCCTCAATATGTCGCTTGCGAAAGTATGTACGCGCGCGCATACGCCGCTACACCCATTGCTGCTGCCGTGGCGCGCACCTCGCTTGTTCTGGCATTTAGCCTTCACTTGCCACATGCAGGCGCGCAGTACGAGCTGTCGTGCATCTAACTGCAGCAACGTCGCCAATTGTGCTTGCTGGCCTTTTAAGGCAGCGATTCCTACTCTCGCACACATACATACATATCCAGCACCATCCGTACGCTGCGCATGCGCATTATTTCCAATTTTCAATTTCCGTTCGACTGCTTGCCCGCATCAGCTTAAGTGAATTAAAATTTTATCTTGATCGATTTGTGTGTAAATTTGCTGGGAAACAACCTTCATTGCGCAGGTCCACGCGTGTATTTATTTGGATATTTGTTTGTGCGCGCGCGTATGTTCTAATCCTTTTCGACTGGGTAAATTGTAGTCATTCAGTTTCAAGCTACCTTTTGCGTATGGATTACTAGAGAAGAAGTCTGCTCTTGTTCCTATTTCACCTTTTGATCCGTCGGTGAATATGTAGATTTTGTCGTTGGAACTGTCGATAACTGAACCATTGGGCCATTCTTCTCTATGGAATGAAAACGTTGTGGAAACGCCGGTCCATTGTGGGAACAGCTGAACATTGGAGCAGAAAGTGCTTGAGTGTTTCCAACTCACTTCATTTCATACAACTTTGACAATTTTCGTCCGACCATTTTTTTAGCTTTACCGCATGTCCAGTAAGAAATCATACAATCGCGGTAAAAATTTGCTAAAGATATGTTAGGTAATTCAGTAGATCTATTGCGTTCTACTTTAGGCCCAAAGGATCTGAAAGTCACACAGAAGCTGATCATCGATCAACACTTGGTTAGCGCACGCGAGGTTCATAAGTTCAGTACTAGAAAGCAAGATGCCAACGCAAATCCAAATCGTTCCCATACGATGTGAACAGGACAAGGGTGCCTCCTTTTGCTAGTGTATTGGATTTGTGGTTTCCACCGATTCCGCTAGGACCAGGCACCCAAACGAGGATGATAATAAAGTAGCTTGATGCTATTTCTAATAAGAACATATACTCCAGGACTAACTTTGAACGCCCAGTTAGCGAGCTCAATGCTAATATTGCCGCTCTGCTGTTGGGGTGAATGCTCACCTTCTCGAAAGAAGCTGCATTTCAGATCAGTACGTCTACTGCTACCTTATTAGCAGCCACTTTCCTCTTAACTTCGACCCATTCGTGAAAAAGCTTACTGCGTATCTTCTCCATTGACTTTTCCCCATCCACATATCCTTCATCGGAAGCAGATGATGCAAAGAAAAAGCCACCAGGAGTAGTCTCTGCAACGCAGGGGTCCAAGTTTACAGGGATGCAGTTGAAGGATGAGCGAATATCAAAGTGTTACTGTTAGAACTCTTTCATATACCCATCTTTCCTGAGCCTTAGAGCGACCTTCGCAGCAATGCACTTGCCGAGAATGTCCATCGGTGTAGATTGATCTAAAGGTATTGTATTATAATTTACAGCATAAATCAGAAATATACACACAGTTATTTGTGAACCATTATTAAGTCGATGACACGTTTGAAATGGATATAAAGTGGACTTCGGAGTGGAGCCTGAGTTATAAATAAGTAATTATAGGAAAACTTACTTACGTGTGGGTACAAAATATGCTTCTAGCGTTTATTTATTGGGCTTATCTCTCACATAATCAACCGCTACTTCCTTTCTGAGATGTATATTGGTCACGTGGAATTTACAAGTATATGCATTTCCTTTACAAACTATTGTAAATTTTGCATTATAAGACTTGTATCTCCCTTGCAGTAAAGGCAGATTGGATTGTGTTCTGAACTTTGGAGTAGGATCCATCTGAATAACCGCGAAGAAGCAACTATTTCTAAATCAAAAACGAGATTTTTGAGTTCTGATTTACCCAAAAGCTTAAGGCTAAATGCCTCCACTTAGTGCACAACTTAAAAGCACTAAATCACTTCCCACAATAAAAGCTTGTGTGTGTGTCTGTGTGTGCGCGAAAAGTAGTCGGTAAACCTTAAAAGCACATCAATGAATTCCTACTATCAGCCAATATCTAAAATTCTTCAACGTAGGGCCACAGTTAAGCACCGTTCGCCTTGAAGCGACACAGTGACGCGCGGCAGCAGTCCAACCGGCCAACAAACAGTAGCCACCGAAGAGTGAGTGCAATTATAAAAACCGTCGCCAAATAGCAAACACAACCACAAGCCGCGCTGCGACAGCAATGAACGAGAGCGCAACGTAACAAAATTTCCAGATGCAATGACAAAAATTGCTCAAATGATGCGCGGGAACGCATGCGCCCACTGACAACATGACGCTTTGATGTGCGCCGCCCGCGCGGTCAACGACTAAACAACAAAGGCGGCGACGGAGCGATTTAGCAAACCGCCAACAATGCGCCACAAAGTGAATAACATCAGCAAACTGTGGCAACTAAATGACAATGATGCGAACGACAGACGAACGAACACACGGACAGGAGAACGCGACATTTACGAAAGCGAAGGGGGGCGCGGCACATACTCGTAGTATTGTGTGGTGACTCCTTCGATATTGCGCGCGTCACATAGTCGGGGCGGTGGATGTGTACACCACAACAACAACAGCGACTCACTACCACCAATGAATTGCGCGGGTTGCAAAGCAGCTGCAGCAAGTGCATGCCAACAACAGCAGGTAAGTGGCGGGTGGGGTGCAACCGAAGCATTGTCACTGCAATGTTGACAATGTTCGGCAATCAAAATATTTCTAGGCGGCTTCTGTTGAAACTGTAGCTTTTGTTTCGAATTGCTCGCTCGGCAACATTGTCAGCCGCGCAGGCGTTTGCTTTTGAAGTTGTTGGCGGCGTAGGTAGCTGAAATTGAAATATGTCATATTGACAGCTCTTTTGAGCGCTTCAAAGGCGACCACGACGCCGAGAAGGAGAAATAAATGCCTGTAGGTATTCGGTTGGGTTGTTGTGTGAGTGCCAATGCTGCGATGGCTCGCGAAGGTTGGTGAAGCGCGGCGGTGCTGCTATTAAACTCTAGTAGATAGTTAAAAGCGGTCCACTCAAAAGGAATGACACTTCAAATTGTTATTTCTGGAATTTATGCTGATGGAGAATGTTGGAGCGGTGGCATGGAAGCTGCTTCTGGAATGGAAATTGGAGATACTGGTGGCGGAAAAGGAACTCTTGCGTTACTAGATATACATTTATAACTAACTATGCCTTTCGAGCAGTATATGCAACTGATTAACTACTTGTATATTTCTATGCTGCTCGCTAGCGTGCCTTTTTTTTGAATCTGACTTTTTTGCTGACCATAAATTCACCAAAGCTGAAAATTGTCTGTAATGACTGAAAAACTATCAGAAATAAAAATTGATTTTGATTTCTTTATTAACTCTTTTTTTTATATTTATACATAATACATATATAAACACCCAAAAACCATATATGTACATAAAAAAAAAAAAACTTCTCAATTAAAACTTAATTATTAAATTCAAAACAAAGTATTTTCGTTTCTACTGTGTTAGCTTAATCTCCCTCTTCATAAATTCGTTTTAACGTCTAAATTAACAATAAAACTAATTTAAAATGTATTTTTAGATAATTTTGAAATTTATATACTTTACTAATCCTTCTTTTCTTCTTAATTTTATTTTTTTAAAGAAAAGCGGGAAACACATTTTCCAACTACAGCAACGTGCAACTGGTTTGATTTTTCGCAAAGAGTGCCAATCTTACTATTTCACGACTTCTCGAAGCTCCTGTGAAAATATGTCCTGTCTCTTTTTTTAATATATACAAAATTTGCTTTTGGAAAAAATTCATAGTATTTCTTTTTTACAGCCATAAACGCTGACAATAATTTTGCTGCTCATTTGACTGTCATCACTGCAGCATCAAAAAATCCAGCTATTTCATTCTTACATACTCGTATGTATGTATGTAAAGCTATAATAAGCATTACAAAACGTCATAATAAATGTGATTGTATTTTAATTTATTACATCAGTAGTTTCTTGTATGGTTGTAGTGTGGTCGTTTTTAGCATGTTCTGAGAAAATATATATAAATATTTTTTATACCATCAGAAAATATAGATTTCAACGAAGAAAAAGTTTACCAACTTCTTCAAAAAATCCAATACTTTGCGTGAGAGTTTCGATTGAAAATTAGGGCACTTTTACGATATTAAGTCAAAATAAGGTGAAAAAATAAATATTTTAAACCAAAAAAATTACTGTGTGTTTGGAAACTGAAAAGGTTAGTTTATACCAAATTTATTTTAAAAAAAATTGTAAAAGTTGATAATGAAAAAACAAAAAAATTGGTTATTCAATTTTTGACTTAAATTTTGAGGTTATGTGAAAAAGATGTGCAGACAAAAGTTGT